TTTTTTTTTTTTTTTTTTTTTTTTTTTTTGCCGTTCTTGGTTCGCGTTATCTCACGAGACGTTAATGAATCCAGAACTGGAGCTCGTCGTGTCGAACGATCGTCGGCCGCGCGGGCGACTTAGTTTCTCCGTCGAGATTATTCTTACACGCAGAGAAATATCATTCTGCTGCTGTGAGAAAAGAGTTTATTCAGTTTACCTTCCTTTTCAGTAAATAATAGTTATGTTAGTTATCCGCCTTGACAAAGAATATTTTCTCGATGATAGTCTTGAAATCATCACAAATTTCATATGTACTCACTTTATCGTGTACTTAAAAGAAGAACTTGTTCTCTGTGCAAAAATATTACGAAACTTCGTCGAAGAGAAAGTTGGCTCGATTCTGTGTAGCAGCCAAACCGAATTCTGGCTTTAACTTAATATTCTTCATTGAAATACTAAATTTACTATTCAGAATATATTTTGAGTAAATTTGATACTTACGACGAACTTATGATGGATTTGCGGATATGTAAACCTGAATTACTTGAAACAAGTAATATTTTCTTGAATACAGTATGTATTTTTCTGTGTGTACGATTAGTCGCAAGATACAGTGAAGTATCTCTCTTTTTTGATTGTCATATATCGGGGTACACAGTACTGCGACTAAAACGAACGAAATGGTCACAAGGGTGATGTACTTCGCGGTCGGAGTTCGGCCAAAACGAATCTTTAGAGACTCGATCCAAATTAAGTATAAGTATATATATATATATACATGTATACAGTATATGTGTATAATTTCGCGGCACCGTACGCACATTTCGCGCGATCGAGAGATCTCCGTCGTCGTTTCTCGTTGCGTGTCGCAGAGTACAAACATTGTTTCTCGACCTTTTCGAATCCCTTTACCCACAACTTTTTACACGTTCGCACTCTTTCAACGCACACGTCGTCGTAGACTTGCGTTTGTCGCGAGTAGCCGCCGGCTGTCGATCTGCTGAGACGACAAATCGCGTTCAAAACGCGACACGAGCGATTATGTATAGAGAGTAGAATGTATTTCTGTTTCGAGCTCGTCAGAAATCTCGAGTACTATACACTCGTAGGAGAATACATTCGGTTGCAATGCGCCTTGAACACTTCCCTAGTAGCAGAAACTTCCAAAAGACACTTTAATCCCTTCAAGGCTCAATTTATTATAAATAGCAAATTACGATTTAATTTTTAAGTGACATATATGATAATATCTGTCAATCAGGTGACACGATTTCCCTTTTCCTTGTGAAATTTTGTGGAAATCTTTATTCACAATACTGTTCGTTGTAATTTTGTCAACAATATTTGAATTAAAAAGAAAAAAACTAAACTTGTTTAAACAAACACATATACGTCAGTATCCCTGAAGAACCTTAAAAATTAATTGAAGACATCTAAAAATACATAAAAAAACTAAAAATAAAAATAAATTATTTAATTTTAAAATGATAAATATGGTGACATTTGTCAGTCATGTGACGAGATTTCCTTTTTCCTTATGGGATTTCGTGGAAACCTTTATTCACAGTACTATTTGCTGTAAACTTGTCGACAATGTTTGAATTAAAAAAAAGAAACTGAATTTATTTAAACAAACATATGTGTCAGCAGCTAAAAGAAGTTAAAGACGCCTAAAAGGCGTCTAGAAAAGTAGGTCATTGTTTAAACGTCTCTAAGACATATAAAAAAATAGGATGTCTTTAAAGCGTTTTAAAGATGTCCCTTAGGATTTTCTGCTAGGATAAAACATTCAATTATTGATATGTCTTTCAGTCACAGAAAAACCTGACGTATGACCAGCATTATAGTTAAACTTCTTGTCCATACTTCATGATTACAAACTTGAGAACTTTACAACTAAAACTATGAACAACAGATGCCTTGGTCGCAACCTGGAAAACCAGGTTTTTCTAGAGCCAATGACTAAGGAAGATGTCAATAATTGGCTGTTTTATCTTAACTGGTTTTTCTGTCTGCAATTCAGAACGTAGACAATATCCAATGAGAGAATTTGTTTTTGAGTAATTCTCGGATAATTTCTTTCAGTGGACATCGACTGCGTTTTCAACTGCATCAGAGAAGGAAGAAGTGTTCGTATTGAAACCAAGTGTATTCGCGATCGTGAGCGGAAGTTACGTGGCTATGATCGCGTGTACTGAGGCGTATAACGTATGCGGAATGGCGAGGGCAGAGTCGGCGATGACTTCGCGTCGAAAAGAGAATCGTTTCCAGCGGAAAACGACTCGCACGTGCTCGTCTTTTCAATTGCACTCGACGGTGCATGCGACGCCGTTCGAACACGTCGTCCGGCGCGCAACAGCGCAAGGCTTTCCGTTGCGAACGGCTTAATTCTTTGAGGGGCGATGGTGGCAGCTTCGAAGCGTGCGATTTCGCGATCGGATTTGCGTGATTTGCAACGTTGTATCACAATGGCTGCTGCCATTTTGCGTTTCTATGTTGGTGCGATGTGGTTTAATTTGTGAACTACAGTGCCTAAGTTTCGCCCTGGTACAGCTTTTCGTCCGGAGGTGCTGCGCTGAAAAATATGCTGACCTTCTCGGCCCCTGAAAGAGTTAAGGGAATATTCGGGGGTACGGTGGAAGAAAAGGCAAGACACAAAGATAACAATAAAGTACACGCGGACAGAGAGAGAGAGAGAGAGAGAGAGAGAGAGAGAGAGAGAGAGAGAGAAGGAGGAGAAGCTAGAAAGGAAGAAAGAGAGAAGAGCTCACACAACAGTCGTGGAATATAAAAGATAGTTATTACTATCATTATTGATTAGTATTTAAGCCTCTCTCGAAGAGACATCGCTCTTTCGCATTTACTTCGCTATCGATAACGTATGTAGATCATTCAGGAAAACGTTCATCGTATAGAGACTATACTTTATGAATCCCTCCACGAGATCCCCGTGAAGATACTCCCTCTTCTTCAGAACGCAGCACATCGAATTTTATTCAATAAAATTTATCGACTCATTGTAAATTTTATTAAATAGAATTCTCCCGCGCGCGCAATGGGGGAAAGCACGGTAATACACACTTGGCAAAACACACCTGACAACCTGACGAAAGTCGCAATTATAACCCTATCGACGTACTTAGCTTTCGAGTCTACATATTTTAATTATTAGTAATAATAAAATGTAAGAGAAAAGAAGAATAATGCGCGTGGAACGAAACAGAAAGAGAAAGAAGACGATGTCATTGCACTGAAAACTTACGGATTCAACTGTTAACAATCGATTATACATAATTATAATCCAAGGAGACATTATCAAATAGTAAACACGATATAAATATATATAGATATAAATATGGACATATATACATATATATATATATATATATATATATATATATATATATATATATA